CGCAGCTGATGTTCTTCTGGCTCTGACAGGCCTTGACTGTATTTTCCCTGAGACCTGCTCCTGCCTGGGAGACCCCAGTAGGCCAGGCGTGGGTCCTTTGGCACTATTTCAATAGATCAATGAGTGGATAAAAGGAGGTAAGTGTACATTTTGACCTCCTCATTTTAAAAATGACAAGACTTTTGTTCCTTCTGACCTGGCATAGATGGAGAACTTTTCTCCAATTCAATGATTAAATTTTTAATGCTAAAAGTAGACAAAATTCTAACTTCCATATGACCTACTCTCTAAGGGTTGGGAATTAAGGGCTAAAGAAGGTAAGTGGCTTCTTCTAATTGCTTACCAAATACTTTTCCATCTTTTTTTTCAGGCTACCACCTCCCTCCCTCTGGCCAGAAGAAGAGGGAAAGTTGGAAGGGAAAGGTTGGGGTGCTGGGGTGTCAGGCAGAGTGAAGGGAGCAGGAGAGGAGAAGGTGGGAAACTAGGGAGTTAAGGAAAGCTCTGAACTCTGAATAATGGGACCTGCAGCCAGGGTTGCCCCTAGAATGTACAGAGCTGACAGATACTTTGTTGTGTAGTCTTTGTTTATATTAAAAATTTGAGTCACATAAAATCAGCCTTTTTGCCCTATTCTGGTGACCCAATCTCATGTGACCCTGTGCTAAAAATACTGTGCTGGGCAGCAGGATTCATCTGCTTGCTAGGCTATCCTTGTGGAACCAGGACCCCTGCACTGGGCCCCATGATGATTCCATAAAGCTGAATCCTGGAGTTCCTTGGGACATCTGCTCAACCCCTTGATGAGGGAGACCGTCAGAGAGCACCCTGAAGGAAAGAAACAGGGAGTCGGGCTCATTCAGAACCTATTCTGTTCCTGGGGCTCCTTACCTGGACAGCACCACCTGCCCTTACCATTCCTGGGGGAACTATTTCTGGCCGGTCCTAAGAAGGGACTTGAGGAGGAAGTTTACAAAGAAGGTGCTTTAAAGCATGGGTTCCGTGAAGCATGGGGTTCAGGCCAGGGGCCCTGCTTGTGCAGGCAGTCCTACCGGCAGCCTCCTCCCCTCCAACTCCTGGAATGCTGGGGATGACACCACCCAGGAAGGTAAGAGGAGGAGACACTGAATAATCTCAGAGAAAGGGTCTCTAGATTTGAGGGTCCTGCAACATGGCTGGTTCCTCTTATGATTTCCCTAGAGAAAAACCCTCCTCTCAATGAAGCCTAGAGCATGCGCTCTGAGTTTCCTATTCAGATATTTACTTCTCTCTTAAATATGAATAGTCAGGGAACATCAGACAGCCGAGGAAAATCTTTCACATGTATGACAGGCACCAGATCAAACAAACTTAAAAAAACCCCACATGCACAGAGGAAACCGACCTAAATCAGAATAAGTGGGAAGAAAAAGCTCTAAAATACTCAGAGGAATAAGTTATTATATTCGTTAAACAAGTGCAAGATGCAATGAAGAGAAAAGAACAACCAAAGAATAAGAGCAAGAGCTTGGAAGTTACACACGTGATAGATGAAGTAAAAAACTCAGTAGCGGGTTTGGAAGATAAAGTTGATGAAATCAACCAGGAAATAGAACAAAAAAGACAGCAGAGCTGGGCATGGTGGTTTACGCCTGTAATCCCAACACTTCTGGAGGCTGAGGTAGGTGGATCACCTGAGGTCAGGAGTTTGAAACCAGCCTGCCCAATGTGATGAAACCCCATCTCCACAAAAAAATACAAAAATTGCCAGGAGTGGTGGCATGCACCTGTAATTCCAGTTACTCAGGAGGCCGAGGCAGGAGAATTGCTTGAACCTGGGAGGTGGAGGTTATAGTGAGCCAAAATCGTGCCACTGCACTGCAGCCTGGGTGACAGTGAGACTCTGTCTCAAAAGAAAAAAAAAAAAAAAACAAGAGAGAAAAGCGATAAGGCAGTTACAAGATTAACTCAAGAAGACCATTATTTGACAAACAGGAAAAACAAGAAATGAGAAGAAATTATCAAAGAAATCCTAAGCAAAGATGTATTAGACTGGAAAGATAAGACAGTCCAGACTGGAAGGACCCCCAAGTGCCCCACACAATCAATGCAGGAAAATCCACAGCAAGGCATATTATATTGAAAAGATAACATCGGTGTTCAGAGAACATCGGTGTTAAAGAGACCCCAGGGGCTTCCAGAGAGAAAAATAAATGCCTTGTGCAGAAGAATGAGAATCAGAGTGGTAGTTTTGGATGCTAGAAGATAAAGAAGTCTTAACAATTCTGCAGGAAAATGATTTTTAATCAAATTCTGTGCTCAGCTAAATTGGCAGTTACATGTAAATGTGGCATATAGACATTTTCATATGAGGCTCAGAAAGAGTCTCTATGCATTCTTACCTGGGAAGTATTACATGTTGCTGCAAAACGAGGGAGGGGTCAAGAAAGAAAGTGGGGCGAGTCAAGGAAGGCTGAGAGGTCTGTCGTTGGTGGGTGGATGGAGAGGAGGCTTAGGTAGTAACCAGTGCAGAGTGGAGAAGGAAAGGTGGCACCGGGGTGGTGTGTCCCTTGGGAAAAGATAACTTTAGTATTGTCTGTTATAAGAAAAAGCACATAGTTACACACAGAGAATGATTTACTACATGTGGGAGAAAATTGGGAACATTCAATATTCAGCTTCGAGAGGTATTAACCCAGGGAAAACCAGAAAAAATGATTGGAAAGAAAAGGCTGTCATACTATCATATTATACTGAATTTAAGTTACCGTTAATAGCGAAACATGTCATTATTTTAAGAGGAAAAAAGTGTTTCTTGTTAAAAAGGCAAGCTATAAGTTGTAAAACACATCCAAATTTCAGAGATGTTACAAAGTTTAAAACTGTACTTTTTGGAATTGGTGAAAATAGTACCCTATTTGGCTTTGTGGCAAACTATTTTGATGTGATTATTGATTTAACCACAAATTATGAAGCAAATTTATTGTGAGGCTGAGGAGTGAAAAAGTGTGGAGTATGGGTGTTCACCTGTGGGAAAATATAAGTGCTAAATATGCATGTGCCAAAAAAGAAAGGCGAGATTTAACATCTAGATTGATAAATTGATAAATCAAGGATTAACAGCATTAATCAGACATATGAACATAGCCAAACAAAGGAACAGCTAACATAGTTGAAAATGATGGCCTCCAGGCACTGGTCTAAGGTTGGTTGGATTGGGTTCTGGTAAAGTGATTTAGAGACTGCTAGTTTTCATTAGGAGCCTGTGGCCCATAATGCATGTTTAACACATGTATGTTACTTTGATGTAAACAAAGGTAGAAGAAAGTCCACACAGACACAACCTTTTCAGCACTTAGGGGACAGTAATGGGCGATTTAGGGCCCCCAAATCTACTCTTTTTTTAAGGTACTTTATCCAGACTTAAGGTTAAGACATAATCATACCTTGCTTCACTGGCTTTCAGAAAGACACCAGGTACCCCTCCCTGTGTCTTCCTTCCCTCTTCTTCCAAAATGAAAGTACACCTAAGGATGGCACAGGGTCCTCTTTTTCTTTTTCTTTTTTGAGATGGAGTCTCACTCTGTCACCCAGGCTGGAGTGCAATGGCGATCTTGGCTCACTGCAACCTCCTTCTCTCGGGTTCAAGCAATTCTTCCACCTCAGCCTCCTGAGTAGCTGGGATTACAGGTGCACACCACCATGCCCGGCTAATTTTTGTATTTTTTTTAGTAGAAATGGGGTTTCACCATGTTGGCCAGGCTGGTCTCAAACTCCTGACCTCAGATGATCTGCCCACCTTGGCCTCCCAGAGTGCTGGGGTTACAGGTGTGAACCCAGCACCCTGGTGCCTGGCCAGGATGGCACAGAATCCTTTTACCTCTGCAGTAAGGTGTGGAGTTTACACATTGTTCCACATATTTCTTTTTTGTTTGTTTTTTTGAGACGCCCAGGCTGTAGTGCAGTGGCACAATACTGCAATCTCTGCCTCCTGGGTTCAAGCCATTCTCATGCCTCCTGAGTAGCTGGGTTTTTTTTTTCTTTTTAGACTTTTATATTAGATTCCAGGAATGCATGTGTAGGTTTGTTGCAAGGGTATATTGTGTGATGCTGAAGTTTGGGTTATGATTGAACCCATTACCCAGGTAGTGAGCACAGTACCCACTAGGCACTTTTTCAGTCATTCCCCCTCTTCCTGTCTCCCATTTGCAGTCGTCCCCAGTGTCTGTCATTCCCATCTTTATGTCCATGAGTACCCAGTGTTTAGCTTCCACTTGTAAGTGAGAACACATATTTGGTTTTCTGTTTCTGTGTTAGCTCACTTACAATAATGGCCTCCAGATGCATGTATGTTACTGCAAAGGACATTTCTGTTTTATGGGTGTGTAGTAGTCTGTGGTATTCCACATGTTTCAACTCATTTTCTCCTCACCAGCACCTTGTCAATTAGGTGGTGCTGTACAGGGTTTCTGTACAGGTCCTGCTGCTTGATGCATGGAAAGCCAATCACCTAGATGACAGGTATTGCTGAGGCAGAAGGGTTTAGTCAGGTGTTGTAGAGGAGGTGGGAGCTCAGTCTCAAATCCATCTCCATCTCCCTAACTGACTAAAACTAGGTTGCTATATAGCAGGAAAGAAATGTAACAATGTTTAAAGAAACAAGAACTAGGGAGGAACTAGGAAGCAATCATCTCACTGAAGGGTCAGGCATTTCATTGTCTGGTTGTGGTGATCTGGTGAGTTTCAGTGATTAGGTACTTTTTGAGAGGTCTGAGGGATCCTTTCCTGAGGAAGGAATTCAGATCAAACAAATGTAAGTTTCAAGCTTTAAGACCAGAAGGGTCAATTTCTGTGTTTATCCAAAAACAACTGTCTATGGGACTCCTGGGTAATTTCAGCTTCACACCTGTAGGGGCTGAGGCTGGAGAGGCGACTTAGGCACACTTGGCACCAGAGGTATTTCTTTCTCCTCTTGCTAAAGTGTGGTGGTCATCTTGTGTTGTTCTGTTCTGGTGATATTTTAGAGGAAAGAGGAAGAGGAGAGGAAGCGAGGAGAAGAGCAGATTCGCCTCCAGGAAGAGCAGAGGGCAAAGGAGCTCTACTGGACTCTGAAGCATGCGCAGCTGCATTGCCAAGCCAGTGAGAAAGAGCAGCGAGAGTGGGAAGAACAGCGTGAGTAGAGCTTGTACCTTGAGCTCGTACCTTGGGCAGGAGACCTAGTCCTGCTTCCCCTCCAACCACCTCCTCCCACTGCTGATTTGCTCAGTCATCATTTCCGTTCACTCACTCACCCCCATCAGCCTTTACCTGGGCCTGGCCTTGTGCTCAGTCCTGCTAAGAATTTAGAGGGTACGTTAGGTTTCACCCTTGAAGAGATTACCTGCCTGTTGGGGATATTTCTTGCATTAAAAAAAAAAATAAAATCCTAGCCTGGACAATACAGTAAGACCTGTCTCTGCAAAAAAAAAAAAAAAGGGTATTAGCTGGGCATGGTGGTGGCATGCACCTGTAGTCCCAGCTACTCAGGAGGCTGAGTTGGGAGGATTGCTTGAGCCCAGGAGGTCCAGTCTGCAGTGAGCCCTGATCATGTCACAGCACTGCAGCATGGGTAACAGTGAGACCTTGTCTTGTATTCTATGTTTACTGAGTTGCCAATAATTTCCTGGCTCTGTGCTAAGCCTTGGGGATTCAGGGATGAGGAATCATGGTCCTTACTTGTAGAAACTCATCAACAGGAGCAGCAGATAGACACACACACACAGACTAAGGGCTTGGAGGGAAAATGTAGCATATACAATGTGGCTGTCCTGGTGGGGCTCCAGAAGAGGTGTCATGAAGCGAGGCTTGCTGGTGACACAGGAATAAGCAAGTCAAAGAGGCTGGGGAGGGCACAGTAGGTGGCAGCTTCAGGATGGGCAAAGGCTTGGTGACAAACACGGCATGCCTGGGAAGTGTGATGGTGAGAGTTTGGGGAGTGTCAGGTTGGTGATAAGCTAGGTGGAGGAGGGAAGGTGGAACTAAGTTTGGAGGGCAGTGCTTCTCTATAGGCTGGGATTTGTTTTATTTGGGTATGGTAAGACATACAGGCCCAGAAATGATGCTTATGAAGGAAGATTTTTTTTTTTTTTTTTTGCCAATCAGTTTGAGCTTATAAGGTTGCTCAGGTTAGCCTTGAACTGATGACCTCGCCTTCGCAAGCGCCACGACCTCTGGCGGGAGCCACTTTGGACCCCCAGGAAGATGTTTTTACTCACAGGTCCCTAGAGGTAGGAGGCATGGCAGGCTATGCAGAACCACATGGGGAAGCCCCAAGGTGGGTCAGGAGGCAGAGGGATTGGGGGAAAACATGGGCAAGAGTGTTTATTGTAATTTCCTTGGGAACGGTAAGGAGAGGCAGGCTAGGCATCTTAGGATTGGCCAGTGTGAATAACTTCAGTGAGCTCTTGGGTGTAGGGGCTGTTTCTAGTTTGGCATCATCTGGCTGTGGGGTGACTAAGGCATGGAGACAGTGGCTCAGAGTGTGAAAGCCCAACAAGGGAGGTAGTTGTGGGGATGGGCTTTGGATTGATGGGTTTGCATATGAAGGTGCTCTTGCAGGCAAGCCCTTTACTCTCCCTAAGAATTGGCTATCCCTGAAATGGACACTCTTTCCAGAATCAGGAAGGCCTCAGATGTCAAAAAATCAGAAGATAGAAAAAATGAAGAGGCATGAATATACATAAGGACAATGGGAAACTTCCAAAGGCAAGTGACAGGATTCTGGCAGGGTTTTAGGAAGAGAGCAAGGAGGAGGCTGTTGTGATGGTACACTTGAGTGATGATTGCAACTGGGGTCACATGGGGAGAGCAGAGATGTGAGGTGTCTTCTACTGGCCAGCCTTCTGCTCCTCAACATGCCTTTTTTTTTTTTGTGAGATGGAGTCTTGCTCTGTTGCCTGGCTGGATGCAGTGGTGCATTCTCAGCTCGCTGCAATCTCTGCCTCCTGGGTTCAAGTGATTCTCCTGCCTCAGCTTCCTGACTGGCTGAGACTACAGGCGCGTGCCACCACACCCAGCTAATTTTTGTATTTTTTTTTTTTTTTTTTTTTTGGGGGGGGGAGGAAGGCAGGAAGGAAGGGAAGAAGGACGGTAGGGAGGAAGGAAGGGATGAAGGAAGGAAGGAAGGGAGGAAGCGGGGAGGGAGGGAGGGAGGGAGGGAAGGGAAGAAAGGAAATCAAGCAATGAAAGAGACATTGCCAACCTGGATCTAGAGGTTTACAAGTTGATTTCTTTTTTTTTGAGAGAAGGAAAGAAAAAAAAATAATTAAAGGAGAGGAAGAAAGAGGAAGAGAAAGAGGGAGAGTAAATGGAAATATTGCTTTATTTTGAAAAAAATTGGGTATTAATAATGGCCAATCAATGTTTCATTTAAACTAATGGGTAGGTGTGATGTGGTATTGACAAGAATGTATATTTTGTGTATTTGAAGTGGAGAGCTCTATAAATATTTATTACGTTTACTTGTTCTGGATCTGAGTTCGAGTCCTTGATATCCTTATTAATTTTCTGTCTCATTGAATCTAAGTCTCCTATCTGGGTGTTAGGATCGTTAGCTCTTGTTGTTGCATTGATCCTTTTACCACTATATCTTTGTTGCTTTAAAATCTATTTTATCCGATACAAGAATTGCAACTCCTGCTTTTTATTTATTTATTATTTATTTTTGCTCTCCATTTGGTTGGTAAATCTTTCTCCACCCCTTTGTTTTGAGTCTTTGTGTATCCTTGCATGTGAAATAGGTCTGGATGTAACATGCCGTTGGGTTTTGGCTGTGTCTTTTGATTGGGAATTTAGTCAATTTAAATTTAGGGTTACTGCCATTTGATGTTGACTGGCTGTTTTATCCATGTGTTGGTGTAAATTCTTCTTTATGTTGGTGCTCTTTACTTTTTGGTGTATTTTTAGAAAGGCTAATACTGGTTGTTTCTTTCTGTGTGTAATGCTTCTTTCAGAAGCTCTTGTAAAGCAGGCCTGGTGGTAATAAAATCTCTGAGTTCTTGCTTGTTCATAAAAGATTTTATTTTTCCTTCAGTTGTGAAGCTTAGTTTGGCTGGATATGAAATTCTGGGCTGAAGGTTCTGTTCTTTGAGGATGTTGAATATTGGCCCCCACTCTCTTCTGGCCTGTAGAGTTTCTGCCGAGAGATCTGCTGTAAGTCTGATAGGCTTGCCTTTGTGGGTTATCCGACCTTTCTCTCTGGCTGCCCTTAGTATCCTCTCCTTCGTTTCAACCCTGGTGAATCTAACGATTATGTGCCTTGGGGTTGGTCTTCTTGAGGAATATCTTTGTGGTGTTCTCTGTATTACCTGGGGTTGAATGTTGACCTGCTTTGCTAGTTTAGGAAAATTTTCCTGAATAATATCCTGAAGGGTATTTTCCAGCTTGGATTCATTCTCTCCGTTGCATTCAGGTACACCTATCAAACGTAAATTTGGTCTTTTCACATAGTCCCACATTTCTTGGAGACTTTGCTCATTCCTTTTTATCCTTTTTTCTCTAATCTTTTCTTCACGTTTTATTTCATTAAGTTGGACTTTGACCTCTGATATCCCTTCTTCTGCTTGAACAATTCGAGTGTTTAAACCTGTGCATACTTCTCGGAGTTCCTGTATTGTATTCTTCAGTTCCATTAATTCACTCATACTCCTCTCTAAGTTGTCTATTCTCAATAGGATTTCATCAAGCCTTTTGTCAAAGTTCCTAGTTTCTTTACGTTGGGCTACAACATGTTCTTTTAACTCACCGAAGTTTGTTATTATCCATTCCTTGAAGAGTGATTCTGTCATCAGGAGGCGCTCGTTCTCCATCAAGCCTCGTTCCATTGTTGATGTGGAACTGTGATCATCTTTAGAGGGAGAGGCGTTCTGACTTTGAGTATTCTCAGCTTTTTTACGCTGGTTTCTTCCCGTCATTGTAAATTTATCCTCCTCTCGTCTTTGAAATTACCAACTTTCAGATTAGGTCTCTTGAGTGGACGTCTAGGTTGTTAGTTCCCAGGGCCAGAGCAGCGGCGTTAAAACTGATGGTGCTTTTCTGCCCAGGATTCTCCTGTCGGGCTTCCTTCTTGTTTCCGTAGTAGGCGACTCTGCCTTCCCGGGGCTCCAAACCTCGGTCAGAAGGGGAACCGGTCTTGTTTACTCTGCTCCGAGAGCTGCCGCGCCGGCGGAACCGCTGCGCCGACCACGAGAGTCGCGCTGGCGACCCGTGTGTTTCCACCACTGGGGGATCTTCTGCTCCGTGAGCGACCAGACTTTGTCTGAAAGTGTGGCGTCCTCTAGTTCTCCGCGCCTTCCCTGAGAGCTGCAATCCCGGGATGTTAGCGATCGGCCATCTTGGATCGTTCTCTCTAATTTTTGTATTTTTAGTAGAGTTGGGGTTTCACCATGTTGGCCAAGATGGTTTCCATGTCTTGACCTTGTGATCTGTCCGCCTTGGCCTCCCAAAGTGCTGGGATTACACATGTGAGCCACCGCGCCCAGCCAGCATGTCTTAATCTTATGCCAGATTCATTAAATAGACTTGAAAATTGAGATACAATTTACATACCATAAAATGTAATGGTTTTTAGTATATTCAAAAAGTTGTGCTATCATCACCATCTAATTCCAGAATATTTCTGTCACTTCCAAAAGAAACAATGTATTGATTAGCAGTTACACCTCCCCCCACCATATCCCTGGAAATTACTCATCAATTTCTGTCTCTAGATTTGCCTATGATGGACGTTTTATATAAATAGCATCATAGATTATGCAGCTTTTGGTGTCTGACTTCACTTAGCACAGCATTTTTAAGGTCCATTCATGTAGCAGCTGTCATTCCTTCCTTCCATTTTATGGCTGAATAATATTCTAACATATGCATATACCACATTGTTGTTCATCCATTAACAGTTGATGAACATTTGGGTTGTTTTCACTTTTTGGCTATTTTGAATAATGTTGCTATGAACATTTGTATACAAGTTTTTATGTGAATGTATATTTTTAGTTCTCTTGGGTATTACCTAAATGCCTAGGAGTGGAATTTCTGGGTCATATGGTATCTTAGTCCATCTTATATGTCTGTAACTGAATATCTGAGGCTGAGTGACTTATAAAGAAAATAAATTTATTTCTTATAGTTCTGGAGGC